GCTTTTGGTTTCCCATTGCTAACTCTGCTTTATTGCCTCTTGTCTTAGGCTACCTAAGTAACTATAAGCTAAAGGTTACCTTATAAGAATTTTGAGGGCAATGCTACAGCCTAACTAACATTGCCTAGCATAAGTCCATCAGTTTTCAAGGACTTTGATGAGTAATGTCATTTACGCATACACGAGAAGGAAATTTCAAGTTCTAATGTCATATTGATAGACTCGGAACAATTCACAGATCATAGCTTGAAAGAATCACGGCAAGGGAGCAAATCCAAATAGATAATTAATGTGAAATTTTCACATCGCGCTTGGTCAACAAGAATGCATAGGAGCACAAATTATTGATAATATTAAAGCTCAGATCAGAAAACAATGCTCAAATAGTGAATAACAGATGACAATATTTATCAGAAATCTGCAAAAAGTTAAATCATTCTGCATTCTGTATCATTAAGACAACACAATTTGATTTGACCTCATAAAAGCCAAATCTTCAAAATCTAGCATGTGTTTGTTCAGTTCAAAACTACTAAGGTTGCTCGAGATGCATAAAACTTTACAAACCTTACCACTACACCTTGAATGATGGGAACAGAATGGATTCGTTTCAAATGCTCAGTTCAATGCATTTGAATAGAAATCAGCCTCATAAGGTGCTTTGAAAACCTGGATTTCCTGGAAGTTGCTGTTTGCAGCCATGGCAAATGATTGGGGTTGGGTTGATTGCTGTCCAGTAAGCCAGAATTCCGATGAACTGAGAGGCATGCCGCCTCCGATTGAATGGTTTCCATGCTGAGCCATGCCAGGATTGTTTTCATGCATAGGACGGTGTGGTGAAAATGATTCTGGGCCGGATTCCCAGGAATTACTTGACAGAAGAGAGAGAGCACAACGGTACTCCGGTGCTGCATCCATGTGGGAGAAAATTGTGTGTCCCCTGAAACCTGTAAACGAAAAATAGAAAGATCATCTGAACAACTGAATTGGAAAATGAGTAGCACTTTAAACTAAAAGTTAGAATTCTAGAATCGCATGAAATGAGTTCATCTTTTTTTACAAGAACCACATAAACATACAAGTTTCCAAGTTAACAAGTCCAGGTACAAGAACTCAACCAACCCAGCAGTTGGGACAAATTCAACGGAATAAACACTTTAGCCGATGCTAAATTGCTACTCAGTGCCTGGAGAATTGAGTGAAGATTTTGGGTCAGCCCTGCAAAGTAGGAAACAAACCTGGATTGTAAACCTCAGATGTGGAGTCTTTGGATGCCAAGAGGCCGGTAGATGTGCCTCCTTGCATATTGATGCCATTTGGCAACTTAATTTCGGGCATAAGCAATTCCACATCAATGCCTCCAGCTCTTCTAGACTTTACAGGGAACTCCCTTGTAACTGTAAACTTGGAGGTGCATGAGCTATCCCAGGTCGAATTTGTAGTAGTTCTAGGGTGAATAAGCGGAGTATTGTTCAACAGAAAATCCATCTGTCGCCTGCCATCTAATATGTGTAAAATTACATTAAGACCACATGTAATCAACAGGTCCGGCAAAAAATCTCGAATGAGCAAGACGGAAACTGTATAGGGCAGGAAAGCATCTTAACTAGATATTTTTGCGAACAATAATGCCTAGTCATACAAACAATAAATAAAGGGATTTTATAGATCGGAAGTCAGAGGAAGTTAAATCTCTAGAGGCAGTGATATACATGGACCCTGAATCTTCCAAACTCAAGCGAGACAAATGAAAGCACAAGTAAATGCCAGCAATCTTAATTAAATCTTTCTTGTGGGTATCAGTCTTTAACTCTTTTGCTTAATTGCTTCGAGAAATATTTTCTCTAAAATTTAGCAAGCAACTTTATTTTATGCGTGAAGTCAAATGATGAATTTAAGAAAATATAATTATGAAGAAATTTATTTTGCATGTATCATACTACTAAATGTGGAGAGAGAATAGCGATACAATCCCGATTCAAGAGAGTTTATTGATATAACACATCAGAAAATTTGAAACAAATTAGTATACATTTATGTGCATGGATTCTATCGATGATAATTGCACAGTGCAAGAGTTGGCACGTTCCAATTGAAAGCATATCAGGTGAGGTACAGGCCGACGATCATGAAAAATGAGTCAGAATATTATGTGAATGTAGTACCAGAGAATGGCGAGGACAGCATCGATGAGTTGAACTCGATAGTTTCCTGTTGTGGTTTACGACGCCGTGCATTGTGATCAGAAAGCCTCCTTCGACAGCTACGCTTCTTTTCGTCAAATTCAGACAAACTATGGAACCTTCATGGATAAAAACAGAAGCCACGAATATATTACGACACCCAAATTAGAAGAAAAAACTTAGTAGAGGAAATAAAAAATGATGGTAGTCAAGTCACAAAGAAAGTTACTACGGCTAGTAAAACTGATGCCAGACAATAATCAAGCAATATTAATAAAAACTACAACTTACGTATATTTGTCAACCAGGGTCTTTCCATGATCATTACCTGCTACACTGTTGGCAAAATCGACGTTCAAGGCCTCTTACAATAACCCTTGGGCTTTTAGAATGGCCATCACAAACTTTATGCTTTCGATGATATTCTTTAGCCGTTGAAAGATCAATGTTGCAGCCTTCTACTTGACAATATGGAATAGGCACATTTTGACCAGATGATTTAGATTTCTTCATTGTAGTGGTAGATGAAGTAGGCACTACAGCAGTGATTACACTCTCAACATTGCTCCCAGCACCATTGTTCTCAAAATAAGTCCGCTTTCTTAGTTTCAAACTAATCCATGGCTCAGCAGAGCCCTCCAGATGAGGAGAAATTCCAGACACCTCGGATCGGGCCATTTCCATTTTCTTGATAAAATTTGCAGATCCCTCAAATGCTTTGAACTCAGAACTTGGCAGTTTCAACCCATCCTTCAGGGAAGAGTCAGTAGAAGCTGAAATAGAGCTTTTAGTTGAAGAATCATGCCCAGCATAAGAGCCAGAAGTACCGCTATTCCCACCATCCCCTGACAAATTAAAGGAGCCAACATCGATTTCCCCATCATCTACTGTCATACAGACTTCCGACAACATTTTTCTTGGACTTTCACTCTCTTTTGAATTGAATGCAGTAACGGTTTCCCAGTCCCACTTCGAATTGAACTCCATCTAAAAAAGGTTAACTCGTTAAACAGGCTCACTCAATTTTCCTTTTACATGAAATGCACAAGAAACTGGGAACTGGGTCTGCAATCAGTAACACTATGACCACCATAACATGCTAAAACGAAATGAAATTTATGATGAAATTTCACAAAAAGTATCAAAAGTATGGCAAGAAAAAATTAGAAACATCCATAACACCAAGTGTAGACAAACTCTGAGCTTTGAGCAAACCAAGATGAAATTTTACCTCAGAGATATGAGTATCACCCCATGGAGTGGTTTACGAGTCCCCGGTGTTTCAGAAATTTGATGAAACTGCAAAGAGGAAAACCAATTATTATCCAATTAAAGCCAAACAACTATTCTCACACATCACCCTCAAATAATTTAAAGAGTTTGGAAAATCAATTATTATCTAATTAAAGCCAAACAACTATACTCACACATCACCCTCCAATAATTCAAAAATTTTCACAGTACAGATTTCAGAAAGTCTCATCAACAATTGAAAATAACAACCATAGAACATTTGAAGTAAGCACAACTAAAAAGCAAAAGGGTACAAGTATTGAACATCTAAAGCAAAACAACTAACTCATACTTCACCACAATTAATCCCGAGATTTCCACAGTACAGAACCTTAGAGTCGCATCAATATATCATCTGTGCAACAATTTTCCAGCCACGACTTCTCACCGCACAGAATCTTCATCATCCGTAACCAGAAAATAAATAAAACAG